ATATGTTAAAATATATTTTAGGGGCCTAAATGTATTTTTTTTAATAAGGACATATATTTTAAATATAGCTCAGAATACTTCTGTTTTGTAACACACTTTTCACGCGCAGTGAATAACTGTATTCTCACCTATAGCAATTCCAATCCATATGACAAGTCTATGTTTTCGACTCAACATTTTTTTCTGCTAATCTAATCTTGAGTGTCTCAATGTGATCAGTAAGGCAAGGAAATCTTAACACTGATCATTGAACTCTTTTAAACACTAGACTAACTCCGCCCTTTGTTCAGAACAATATTTGAGATAACAATTTTTGTTGAGCAAGAGAACAATTTAATTGGGGCACGAGTTATCAATGGGTCATTGGTCATTTTATCAGTTGTTTATTACAGACTTGAAACTGAGAATTAGAATAGTACATGTAAAATAACTGCTTAAATTATATTTTCATTGAGAATTTAAAAAATTTGTAGTTGAATAAATGTCGTATTAGACTCATCGTTTAGGCACCCCTGGCCCAGACCTTTGTGCTAGCTACAAAAAAAGTTCGAACGACATCAGAAGATAATATGACAATGAATACGTGTCAAAACTATGCTTTGTATAATACCATGTTATGCTGCAAGGCTGGGAAAAAGTTCTTTACGGTCAATGGTCAAAAAGTTCAACTTGCGAGTACAATGGAATTTTAAAAAAACCGAAAGCCACTTTTACTCTGCCACTTAAGTCAATTTTAGGTACTATGCTTGTGATTTTATTCCACCCGTAAGTTAAATGAAGTAGACAATCAGGTCTAAATTAATGGCCAATGGATCTAAAGCATCTCACTGGCTTGAAGACAGTTTGAAGATGCCCCTCTTGGTCAGGTGTGCATTGGCTGAGTTGATGGGAGAGAAACGGTGGAAGTTAAACGGATTGGACAATTCTTTGTCAGTTGCACGTTAAACGAGACATTTTACTACGTTTCCTTATCATAATTTTGCGTGTTCACTGAATCTTGGTTCAAAATAATCAGGATTTTTGTATTCATAAGATGAAGGAGGATATGACAAAAATATGCATTATCTGAAAATTTTTTCAAGTTCAAATTGTTAGCAAATGCAGGGTGTCAAAAGGCATATCAAGAACAGAGTGTATCTACTAGATGGGGCTTCACCGAGCCCTAGTTATCATTTGCCAGTAATCTATAGGAAATAATTGCATCTACTACGTTGACTTTAAATCTTACAAGTATTTATACTTTCAACATATTTATTCATTATTTTCTCCTTTTTAGTGCGTTTAAAAACGTTTTGTTTTAAAAAGGTTTTTTATTTATAAATTATTTCCTAGTCTGGACAACACTGAGTCAAATATTAATACTCTCTTACTTAGACGATTCAATTTTGAACTTTATATTCGTAAACCCTAATGCTCCAATAATTGTACATAGAATGGAAGTCGTTGTTAAACTAATTGACCTATATAATACTATCAAAAGCTGAATGGTATATTCTTATTTATGGAACAAATTCAATTACAATTATTGAAAACAGGAATTTAGTTAAAACTAAAAGATGAAAGTATCACAAGGATGTCACAACCAGATAACCTATAGATACCAAAGAAGTGCTATAACAAGAGATTGTACACGAGCGGTCTATAAATTGCAATACAATGGAAAATCTTTAAAATGTCTATTTATAATATAACTGTTATTATACTGTACTTACATTATCTTCAACTATTGTTTTTAGTTTCAACTTTTTTGTATGTGTTCTTAGTAATGTAAAACTCAGAAACACATTGAAATGAAATATTGATTGTTGTAGAAACCTCAAAATCATCTAGGTCTACACTCCAAAACAGGAAATTCAAAAGTAAATTGAAAAGTAATTTGGACACACAGCTATGTAACTATTTTCTGGGAATATGCATCAAATAGCCTACATTCAGACAAACAAACAATAACAGAAAAAATATGGAACCATCAAAATCCTAATTTGATTTCCAATAACAGATGTGAGGCTGGAAATATGCTTTGTCAGTAATGTAACATATCCTATTTCCAAATTTTAACCAAAAACTTCAAACTTTGCACAATGTTGACCACACCTATAAAGACAAGTTTACTTGAACTTCTCAGTATACCAGAAACAATTACTGTGAGACCAGTGGCGTAACTATGGGGGGGATGAGGGGGATAGAACCCCCCTCCCCCTAAACCAGAACCCTAAAATAAAAATAAATATTTGTATCACAGCAATCTTACTTCTTTCAAATACAGTTGTGTGAAGTTTATAACCGAAACTGATTATTTAGGCCCTAGTTTTTATTTGGTTTTATTAATCTAATTTGTTAATTATTAGTTGATTTGCATAGTGAGCTAATTTTAAAAGGTTTATTTCATGAATACACCCAGGCAGCGGGAGTAAATTTTGAGAGTGGTAGAGGTAACACTGCAGGCATGTGCGGTAAGCACTACAGTGTTAGCAAAATGGGAGTGCCGATGGAGACCTGTGGGGGTGCGTGCGTGTCAAGGGACTTGACCTGGTCTCCATCGGCACTCCCATTTTGCTAACACTGTAAGTAGACGCCAGACGGCTTTTTGGTTGTTCACTTAGTAGACTTGTAACAAATATTAAATGAGCCATGTCATTCTGAAATACATTGATGTTATTTAGTAAAATGTTGTGTATTGTGTATTATAAATACAAGGTAATGGTGATGGGTTGTCGGGAGGGTATGTCAGCCAAGTCTAAAACTTGGAGAAGAGAAACTGTAATTAGTAGTGAATCGCGCAGACGGCCGGTAAAAAACAAAGTGTTTACCAAAGAGATGAAAATATTATAACTGAAGTCACTACTCTCTGGTTGAACATTAGAGAAAAGCGTCCCATCCAAAATGGCCGCTTGTTGCTGTGTTTTGTTGGTCACATTGTCTCGGTTGGTTGGAATAACCCCATCTGATTGGATCAAATTTGACAGCTATCCAACCAAGCAATCATATGGCCAATATAACAACATGAAAAACTGAAAAAACCCAGAAAAAACAGTGGCACGCTTTTAAACACAGAGTGGTGACTCCAGTTATAATCTATTCATCTCTATGGTGTTTGCCGATAGTGATACTCAATAAAAGGTTAAATTACCTGTGTCTGCTGGTCTATTCTGATGTATCCTATTACAGGAGATGCATTTGGGCGAAATTAAATCACCATCATCAGTCCTAATATAAGGTCTTGAGCTTCCCTATTAGGTCATGAAGTTTTGGAGACACATACAGTAACTTTACACTTACACATGATGTAACGTCTGACCCCAGTCGAGACTTGACACACAACTTGACGCGCGTCTACATGTTCCTAATAAAAATAATACCCCCGCCGCAGCAAACCTGACGCCTAAGCGAATTTCCATTTGGCTGAATTGATTTTCAATTGATCTATTTAAATAACATTAGGTTTAACGAGTACCTAGGTTTGCTGCTACAAGGAAACTAATTAAGTGTGTGTTTTAAGTAAAATAATTATTGCTTAGTATAAAATGAATATATTTGCCAAGTTTGATCAAAAGATATCCATAAACAAGCAAACTACAACATTTTACAATATTCTCCATAAGAATAACATGGGAATTTTAAATTTACCATTTTTTTAGTTTTCTCCGTAACCAATAACCGTACAAAAACACTTTGATATAATGAATTGTTTGTTTTTTAAAGCTCTTTAAGAAGGTTTAGAGAAAAATTGGGAAATTTTGTGTTTTGAGGGTCAAAAGTGAGAAAAACCAATTTTTACCCCATAAAACCCCCCATAAAACCCTGTTCCCATGGTCCGATCATGCTAGATCGCGAACTCATTCAAGTTTATCCCGCCTTACACCTTCAAACCAAATTTCATCAAAATCGGATAAAAATTACTCAAGTTATCGTGTTCACGGACACGTATACATATATAAAAATTTGAACGAGTGGTGTTTTTGGCCTCTGGGGACATCAAAATGAAAAAGTAAATCGGTCCCGGGCCTAAGTCTTAGCATGAGACCTACGGTAATAGCTACTTCCCTATAGGGAAATTCGCTAAAAGTAGGACTACCATGTATTAATGTGTTTTATTCGTCATGTATACGTGTATCATGGCACCAACAAAGAACCAAATCAGTTTTGAATAGATTAAGATAATATTTTAACAATTATTTTAAAATGTCTTACTTCTGCTTACATGGTACTTATGCAAAAATACAACATCCAACCCTTCCTGGACAGGTGACAGATATATTAGCACAGATGTTCCGGACATAAAGTGTCTATTTCTACCGATTCCACATAATGTTTTTTGATGTAAAAATCTTTCTAAAACACAAATCAATGCTTAAGTCCAAATTTACAATGTAATGTTTCTTTTTAAAATAAAATGTTATCCAATAAATAACACAGCCATTTCACAGAGAAGTAAAATACAGGATACAAGCTTATGGGACAACCGAGCGCTTTCAGGTATGTTGAGGGAGAAATGTATCGAGCAAGGAAGAGCCCGACCGGCGTTGGCCACATAGCATATTTGTACAGTACTTGTAGCGCACAGGTTATCCCTACCACGTGAGCGCTGTAGTACATGATGGCGAGGCGAGAAAGGTGAGCAGAAGGGGACGACGAATAAAATTTGCTTGACACCAGCAACTGGTGCTAGACACCACTTAAGTGTACCATTGAATGTATCCGTTTCTTACTTCACTTGTGGTTGTGGCAATTTATTATTCTTGATTTGTAACCTGGTATTTTTTTTTAAAGATAGGTTACGATATATAAGCTACTGTAGGTATTCACGGACTAGTAGAAGTTATATCTGCACCATTTTTTTAGCAAATAAATTATCCGTCAAAAAGTTAAGAAGTCCTCTGTTCTATGCTAGGCTACGGTATTTTAAGTAGAAAAGTAAAAAAAATTGCCAGAATTAGATTTTTTCACATTTTACAAATGTTGCCTGTCAGGGAAGGGTCAAACAAGTAAAAGACACCAACCTTCTTTCCTCCATTGGTCAAGATCGTGAAGCAGCTTGGAGGCATGCTCAGCCCTGGACACTTTGACCTCATCAGTGATTTCTACCTGTAAGTTTAAACAATGAAACTTTAACAGCTCTCCTGTTGTTCATTATTTATACATAATTTATATTAGAAAGTAAGCTATTGACACATCCCGTACGGTTAGACGGCCCAGAGGGTCAAAGTGGTTTGGTTTATGACTACTTAATGATGTTTTGAAGTTAATTCTAACCGAATGGCAAATGTCATAAATTAATCTTCAATGAGAGTCCGAGGCTTGCACCTTACTTCCAGATTTTAAAATTTTTTTTTTCATAATATCCAAGCATATTTTGCATGTTGACTTTAATCAGCTTCAGCAAAAAAATTAAAAACAGTACAAAAATGTATTAATTCCTAGCTTATTTTAAGATGAAATTATAGTTTCATGACTATTATCTTATGCTCTTGTTAGGCTACAATATTTTCCTGAAATAAGTTAAGTTGGCAATTAATGAAATAATTAATGAATAGTTTTTTTTACAAAGGCTAGCTACAATAAAGGCTGCAGTGAAATTTTGAATTGCTGTTACCAACAGGAAACCTAACTATTGAAAAAAATGTACTTCATGAATCTAATAGGCCTATTCTGTAGGAGTTTAGTCATAGAACTTCCGGTGTAGAAAAACAAGATTTGAACCCTACTGTACATAGACCTATAGCTTATAAAATAGCATACAGTACTTCGTTTGCATGTGTCACAAATTACTAAAGTAATCGAATTGAAAAATTCTTGCCAACAAGATTGATAGTTTGAATAAATAGGTTAACCAAAAGGTACCGAAATCGGAACTGTCCGGACATAAACGAGACGGGTGGTAACTCTGCCCTCAAGGTCAATGTCACCAATTGAATAGGTTGTGTCAGGTCTGCTTGTCAGCCGATGTCGGTTTGTTTTGTATTTCCAGTGTGGCCGGTCTAGTGTTTTATTATGTGTTTTCACAGTTTTTTTAATGTGTCACCGCAAAAAGTCATCGACTATCAATTGAAGTTAGTTAGTTTCAAATCTGTTCTTATATTTGACGACTGAGATGTATAATTGTAACAATTTGTACATGTTAAGAAGAGAATGAAGAGATACACGTTAAGAGAATAAATGACTTATGATTTACTTAAGTTTTGATTAGACAACGAGTCATATGACCCCAAACTAACTTAATAGTCCTCTGAATACTTTGTGGGATTGAAGGCGAACAATGAACAATAACCTACTCACTAGAATTATGCATGCAAATGGATTCCAAAAGATAAATTACCTACTACAGAAAAGGTGTAAAAAGACGAAGACACCCCTAATAAACATGAGATAAAGTAATATACTAGACTACTGACAAAGCCCACATTAACTTACAGCACTGAGAGAAAGCCTTAAAGTTGGATTTAACAAAACAAAATCAAAACTGTATAGGCCTAGCAATTAATTTAATCATACAGGGTTCTCAGACTTAATTTATAGTTAATGTAATTTAAGGTTTATTCACACTATTCTAGTCATATATTTAATATGTTTGAGACTTAGCAAAGGAGTCAGGGGCTTAGGGCGGATACAGCCAGAATTGCGGCAGTGATGCCATTACATTTTTGATAGGCCTAGCTTAATTTTTTAAATATGGTAAGTTAATTGTTTTGCAAAGTAACTTAGGCTCACAGGCCTACCATTAATTTAAATAACATGCATTCAAAAGCTTAATTCAACATTTAAATCTAGGAATGTTTACGGCTCAACATTTTATATTCAAAGGAATGTTATTTTTTTAATTTTTCAGATGGGATTTAAACAGTTTTAGCGTTTTTTTTTTTCAGGACGGTGATCTTGTGGAAGCCATCTGCTAAGTTTGCACAGTTGAAAATTCACGATGTTGCCAGAGATTATCATTATGTGACCAAGGCGTCATGTTATTGAATCCAAAGTTACTAGGCCTTAAGTAGAATCTTTGAAAACGAAATCACTATGGAATTGAGAATAGCAATCAGCTCATAGGTTTTCCTTAGATTTGACCAAAATATTCACCAAGATTAACAACCCATTTACGATTTTAACAATATTAAGTGGAATCATAACAATCTGTTTGTGACTAACCTCAACAGCCACATTGTCGCTCGTGCTGAGCCACGAGTCCACATCAAGCTGAAGCGGACTCGCTGGCTCCTCCTTCCATGACCAGACACCTGACATTGCCATTGTATCCAGTCACTGTCTCAACTCCAACTAAGTTTTCTTGTGCTATTTGTGTCGTCTCTGCGACGTAGTTTTCGATAAAACACGCCATAATGGCTCTGGAAAAAAACATGAATTCAGCATGAAACCTTACAAGGTAGGTACCGGTAGGCAAACAGAAATTAGACATGAATAATTCTCTTTTAAACACTATGTCTAGCCTATGTAAGTTACCAGTAAGCGAATGAAACTAATTAGCCTATTATGAAACATTTTGTTTATTTACCATCATCTGTTTAAAGGACATAAGTGGCCTGGACTCTAGTGAGGCAATTAGGCAGAAAAACTTTGATATCAAGATCAGTATTAGCCTAACTTATCCTAATTTATCTAAAATAAAAGTATCAATTCATACCATAGCAAGATCTAGCCTATGTAACAATTGATAATAACTTACAATGGAGTAAGCTTAGGATATCACAAATTTGCCAATTTAGACTAACAATTCTTAACTTTCTCTTGGTTTTCCACAAGGCTATTTACTCAGTGTATCCACAAGACCAAAGCAAAAATCCCGCTTACTGGGTTGAATAAATCCTGTTTTATCCTGCTTTTGAATATGAGAAGCCCCTTTTATCCCGTGTGATTTTTTTTTGTCCAATTCCGAGTGTTGTATTTGACGTAGGCTAATGTTTAAAATAGTTATTTAAACATAGCTATTATATTTTGCTATAGTAATATAATGATTTTGAGGTAAGTTTTTCTCTAAAATGAGGTTTAAAATAAAACACACGTCAGAGCCAAAAATCCTGTTTCATCCCATAACCTGTTTTACTTAATCTCACTCATGGACTAAGAATCCTGTTTTATCCCACATCCCGTTTTAATTCCGCTCATGGTCTTAAAATCCCGTTTTCAAGGATAACTTAATCATCCCGTCCGTGGATGGAAACACTGCATCAACACTTCCTGTTAATAGTTAACTTGAAGTAGGAATATACATCTTTCTAGGAACACATTAACAATTACATTCCAATCAAACTTCACTTAACTATTCTTTTTAAGTTAACCCGTCCTTCCTTTCAGTTTACTTTGTTCCAGTGTTAAATACTATGACCTCTCACTTTTTGTCAGTGGCGGGAATAAGAAACCCCCCTCTCCGCAAGTTTGTGATCTTTAAAAACATTATCACAGGTACTACCACCTATCGCATCTTCCACTATCTCTTCCACAATCTTCCACGATCGCGGAAAAATCCTTAATATCTTCATAGGTCACGGAAACATTATCAATAATACTGTCATTGCAATCAAACCCAGGACATCTGCGGTTGTGTAGACATTGTCTCCCGTGATCCCTCCCGCAGTGAAACATTTTAATCTTTTTTCTACAATTGCGTCAAAATCCTAAATATCTCCCTCGGGAAAAAAAAAACGTAATAATCATCTAACTGTGATAGCATAAAAATCTTGCATATCTCGTACAGTCACAGAAACATCAATATTGTCTTCCACTACCGGTATCGCAGCAATATCCTGAATGTCTCCCGCAGTTGTGTGGACATCATATTGTCTTCTGCAATTGCGGCAAAATATTGAACATCTCCCGTGGCCCAGACACATCATCATCGTCAACCACGGGGATTATCTCGTCGACATCCAAGATCATGGCAAATAGCGTGAACCCTTTTATTCGCAGCGCTTGATCCTCGCAGACAGGTTCTGCCGTCAGGTTGTTATCGGGGTTGTAAAAGTTCGGCTCTATTTTCTGACTTTGTGCGAGATCTCTCACGGTTTCAATAAATGTTCGTTATAAAAACCATATAGTATAATACTAACTGAATATAAATATTGTTATGATACAGGGCCCGTATAAGTTAGAAGGGGCGGTCACAGGTCCCGGCCCGGTTACATTTCCCGAAAAATCCCGGTCAAGGCACGCGGGCCCCGCTATCACCACCACTGCATTCTATACATAGCAGGGTTAGGCCTACATGTTACAAAGTTGTAGCTTAAGTGTCTTGGTACTTTCTTGTTAAAGGGAACAGTCATTATTATTGATGATTTTTTTCTTGATGTAGGCTTTCGATATTTTATTTTTTGATAAGGTACAATATAACTAATCAATATTGACAAATTGAAACATATCAGCTGACAGCTACGATAAATAAACAACTTCTTATTGTTCAGTATGTAGTAGTTAATAATGAATGTTCCCTGTAACAGGAAAGTAAGTTACCGGTGTCAGGCCCGCCGCACATTGGAGCGAGGCGAGGTGCAGGCTAGATGCAGGCTAGGTGCAGGCGGGAGCGAAGACTTTTTTGTGTCACCGCACATTGAAGCGAGGCGGGACAGAGGTTTCCTAGCTTTGGTCCTTCTGTCGCGAGTGGGAGGAAGATTTTTTGAAACTTTGTTGATGCTGATTGTGAGTTTAAAATTTAGTTTTACTCTATTCGCTACCGGTACCTATCCAAAAAATGTAACAACTTTTTTGGGAAATTTGAATACCGTACACGAAAAAAATATTAAGCCATGGAGAGTATTTTTAACCACTGAACTACAAGACCGGTCTTTTAGAGAATATTTGTGTGTAAACAAACAACAGTTTGACAATGTCCATAAGTTGATTGAAAGTGACATTAATGGAAAGTAGTCCAATGCTCAGCAACATATAGCCATCTGAATTAAATGCTACATTCTTTCACTCACAGAATACCAGAAAACCAACGCAGGCACGAGCGAGGTGCAGGAAAACTGTATTCCAACTACAACGCCGCGGAGGCCTGACAGAGGCTGCCGCAGCCTCTGCTCAATGTGCGGTGCTCCATTTAAACATGTGTATTACAGAATCAGCCGCGCTTCGCCTGCACCTCGCCTCGCTCCAATGTGCGGCGGGCCTTACTCTCAAAACTTTAATGAGGATTAGCCTAACTTAGTTCCTATCTCTTCAGAAAAATATCTTCCAAATAGTTCTAACTTAGCACTGATGAGGTAGGCCTTTGGCCTAACTTATTATTCAGCTAGATTTTTATTAGATATTTCTGAACTATATGGAACAAGTTACTTAATTTGGGAAACAACATTCTCTCACATAAGAGTCTACTCACTCACAATGTAGGGCAATAGAGAAAGTTCCGATTGCTGGACCTAGTTACAACAATAAACTTAACTTAGCCTACCCTACAAATAACACTTATTTGACCAATTTCTTTGACAAACAGACAAATTCATGTGCAAAAAATATAGTCTCTTGGTGTTGTTTATGTTTACATAGCCTATGCAAAGGCCAATCGGATAATAAATAAAAACAGGAAACGTGCAGGCGTTCTCCATGCCCCATGACCTTCCACACATATTTATCAAGATTTAAGCTGTAAGGAAGCTAAACTAAGCTAAATACTTACTCCATTTTTGCTTGCTGTGGTGGCACAAGGCCGTACGCGGCTCTAAAAACACCTAGAACCCCATATTAACGCGAAACAAACGCTGAAAAATATATTGACGTCTGCTGTTCTTGACACATGGGGAATGGAATGAATAGCAGAAGCTGTCCGACACCGAAAGTTGTAATTATTAATCCGCCAACATTCCATCTTAAAACCATTAACTTTTTTTATTATCGCTATAATTTTTGTAATGAATCAGTCATTTATATGCATTTTTGATTCAATAAATTCTGATTTTTTACACTTTTTAAGCTTTTTTCAATGAAACTCCAAGGTACTATTTTATGATACTTATTGCATCAGCTTAGGTTGGGTTGGGTAAAAGTGACGTCATTGGGCAATTTTCGCGGAATTCAAGAAAGTTTAAATTGGTTTAGATTTATTCAAGATTATTGTATAACAGCTTTATTCAAACTTTTGTTTGAGAGGTAATTATTTTATTTGTAATTTATACCGCATTCTCAAGCTTTATCTCGTTGCAGTCATTAACACGACACATATTTTTAGAGAATTTCTAAAAGTAATCAATCAACTACAAGTTTATGTCCCCTCAATCTTCAACTACTACAAAACTAACGTCAAATCCCAATGAGAATTTATTTGTTCTTAATTTATAATAATTTATGGTAAAACCTTGTAGGCCATTGTTTGGTGAATTTCCCATATAGGGAATAAGCTATTAGTATAGTACTCATGGTAAGACCTAAACCCGGGACAGATTTACTTTTTCGTTTTAAGTTCCCTAGAGGCCAAAAACACCCTCCGTTCAAATTCATATGTGTGTCCATCAACGCGATTTAACGCGAGCAAAAATGATGCGATTGTGATGAAAATTGGTAGAAACGTGTAAACCTACGTTTATTCATACGAGTTTGCGAACCAGCATGTTGACTATGGGAACTATGGGGTTTGGGGGATTTTAATGGGTAAAAATTGGTTTTTCCCATTTTTGACTCTAAGAACATAAAATTTCACAATTTCTTTCCAGACCATTTTGTAGGGCTTTAAAAAAGAAATAATTTTGTATATTGAAGCATTGTTGATGTATGCCTAACGGTTACGGAGATAATTAAAAAATACTTTAAATTGAAAATTCTCATGTTATTCTTATGGAGAATTAATAAACCGTTGTAGTTTTGCTTGTTTATGGATATATTTTAATCAAATTCGTCATTTTTTTAAATTTCATACTAACATCAACATTTCTATAAAAACACACCTGAACAACTAATAAACAGCTACAGGTATACAGCCTACAGGTATATAGCTACAGGTATAGCTACAGGGTTACCTTCCCTGTAGCAGCAAACCTAGGTACTCATTAAAATGAATGTTATTTAAAAAGGAAATAAATCTATTTACAGGGACTATTTTAGTAGAAATCCAGAAATAGAAATTTGCTTAGTCTGCAAGGTTTGCTGCCGCGGGGGTATTTTATATATATTTGAGAATACTCCTAGTAGCTGGATTACAGGACGTCGCCACCGTCCCAGTCTTATTCCAGTTCGGGACAGGATTTTAAAATGTTGAAACATGTTAATGATTAAAAAATCAGTACAGTAGAACTCCAACAAACACCGAATCATCGATTATACCACCAGAAAGAATCGCACCAGAAAGAATAATAAACAGTACCTGGGGACCGAGCTTTGCGCGGAGAAAATTATAAGTGTTCTCTGAGAGCAGTCTTTGGTCAATGTCAAACACCGAGCCAGCGAGTCGTCGACTCTCCTGCTTAAGACGACCGGCCTGTTGTCCATCATATTCTTATTCTGTTCTTATCATATTCTGTTGGTCATTCAAATTCAAATTCAAATTCAAATAATCTTTATTTGTTAGTAGTATACAATACATACATAAATAGTGTCAAAGATCATCATAAGATCTTAAATTATTTCTCCATCTTCATTCTTCAATGCACTACTTGGCCAAGGTTCTGAGACATTTGGTGAGATGTATGACTATGAGCTGGTTGGAACTGGGTTGGTTGTACACAGAGTGGTAAAATTTGTTTCCTGTTTTTGTTAACTACAGCTACAAAGAGGTATTTATGATAAATTGGGCACTTTCAAGGGTTGTAGGACAGGATATTTCTCAGCATTGTGACCAATTCCAATAGATTATTCATGGCCAAATACCCCATCTTAAACAAAAAAATCAAATATCCTAGGATAAAAAAAGTTTGCCTTTACACACGCTTGTTTTAGAGTATAATATGACGAAACATTAGTAATAAGAATCGTTGATAAAGAAGGCAAAATCCAAAAACTCTCTCGCAGTAGTTTTTTTTTTTTTTTTTTTTTTTGTCGTCTCCCGCGGTCATGGAAACATTCGTCGTTGTTTTCCGTGATCCCTGCTTAATCTTAAATATATCCTGCGGTCTTGTAGACATTATCTTTGTCTCCCACTCCCAGTCCTGCGGTCATGGAAACAATGTAATCTTTTCTAGCAATTGCTGCAAAATCTTGAATTTCTTCTTCGGTCTTGAAGACATCATCATCGTTTCCTGAGGCCATGGAAACATCGTCATTTTTTTCGCGTTTTTGGTCAGCGGTGTGACAGTTGGACCTAAGTGCCTTCTGGACCTCGCCCCCCCCCCCCTTTGAAGGTGTGTTATATTTACACCACTGTTAGTACCCTTCTTAAGTTGATGTGAAACAGACAAATGTTCATAATTTGTCATTGTAATAAGTCTAGAATTTATTACTTTGACTAAGTATTGAAATAAATAACAAAATTGGGTCAGGGCCCATAATCTTTTAAATTTTGCTGAGCTTACCTTTGCAGTAGAGTGTGGTTGTGTAGTAACAATTATATCCTTGATAAAAAAAACTAAGCTTTACAAGATTATTATTTATCCTCAGAACAACAACAATACTATTATCCAATTAAATAAAATAAAAACATCTGTTACAACTGTATAGTATACCTACAGTTATTTAGGTATATCTTTAACACCATAAACCAGGAAAGTCCAAACTACCCTCAACTTTTGAACGGTCCAAAATCAAATTCCCTTACCCCCAGTCCAAGAGATGAAATGGAGGAAGAAAGACATCCTGCTGTAATGCCACCACATGTTCATCATCTTGTTGTCCGATCAACTCGGCTGCGATAAGAGTGATTGTGTCTGGTAAATATTTTTGTAAATACAGTATATAGACTATTAGTGTTAGTGATAAGAAGATAGAGAGCAACCCCCTGATGATGCCACACAAGCTTCCGAAATGCACAGGGCAACACAAACATCCACCTTTACTCAAGAACTAGCAACAACTACAAAGTAATCAATATACTATACTCCATTTTTACTGTCCATTGTTTTTGTATTGTTTTTGTCCATTAAATTTTGAGTGGATATATTCGTTTTGGGTCCCCTAAACCCAAAATGAGGTTTTTGAAGTTATGTCTCTCTCTGTGTGTGTGTGTGTATGTGTGTGTGTGTGTGTGTGTGTGTGTGTCTTATGTGTGGATGTGTAAAGAGCTATACAGACCACACCTGTATAGACAGAACACTGAATCATAGACGAAAAAAATCTTATACCCATACCAAATTTCAGCCCAATCCGACCAGTAGTTAATGCGTGATTGAACTTCAAACAAATACACAAACTTTCACATTTATAATATTAGTAAGATTCTAGTGTTGATGTGGCTTTAACAGGTAGCGTCGCATATAGGCCTATGCCACGTAGCGTCCGATAATTGCCACGGACCGAGGTAAATAAATAAAAATGTCTTTATTAGCCAGCGTTTCTATGACTATCAGTTTTTCAGAACTACTTTATTAGTCATTCTTAATATTAATAAAGGTATACAATTTAATACTACACATTTGGTACACAGTGATTGGCTGTCACTTGGATTTACAGTACACACAGACCACTGGCAAAAACCTGTCAAACAGTTATCTTTACTTTGTAATACTCTGCAATCTTGTTTCTAAATAATAAATTCTTGTTTTTTTTTAATTTTGATAACCTTTTGTAATGTTGCATATTTGCGACACCTATAGTCTATAGCAAAGACAATAGTAAAAATTATTATATTTTTCTTGAAAAACCCCAAGCGCCGCATATATGTGACAGAGTAATGGTGAAAGTAAGAAAAAAACAAAAACAGATTTTTTAATAACAGTTTACAATAGAACAAATTATGAAAGCTACATGGGATAATGCAGCGTACATACAGCGATGCAGCATAATACGTCACCAATCATCATATCCATAGACCAAGCAACGCAGTTGTGTGTCAGACATCCCTGTAGAACACTGCAGAGAATTCAGTGCCTTCAAATAGACCGTTTCAAAGATATAAGCGTTTTGATAACATTAGAACATCGATGCAAATATCAGATGTCAGTCTATTTTAATGTGACTAGCCGTCACATTATGCGACAGCAGTCTATGGGTTGCATAAAGTAACCAGCTGTTGCATAAAGCACTGTGCGTCGCTGGTCCATATAAATAAAAAAATTTTGTACTATTGCGGTAACAAACGTATTACGAATCAAGGCCCCACAAAGAAAAAGGCCCCCTGCAGCACGGGCAGCGCAACACTACGTCACAGTGGTGGATAGTTATGTACTAAACTCTTACCATTAAAATCTTACAAACAGCGAGCTTGTTTATTTACCTAAGACATATGGGAATGGCAATGAATTTATCAATGAAATCTATCCACTAGTGTGACGTCATGGATCCTTCAGCGTGGCCTGTTTTTCTTGTGGGGCCTTGTAAGAATGCACCTTTTCCCTCAACTATTCTGTGTTATAGACCAATATAATCACCTGTCAATAAAAGAAAACAGACATTGTCTTGAATAAACAGCTTTATTTACCTTATAACATTGATAACCTTTATTGAATATTTTCATTACAGTTATTCTACTATTGTAAAACCATTCATAAAATGCTTTCAATACATTATTTTTAGCAGTTAATGCAAAACGTTTACTACATCTTTAGGTTTTATAAACACAAAAATTAGGTAACATAAAAATATATATTCAACTTCTGTATTGAAATGGCAAGTTATCAACAGTTAACAAATAACGAGGAAGAAGGCGACGAAGAAATCCTCAAAAGGAGAAAAAGCAGCCT